ACTAATTTAGAACTGTAGACTGTCTAAAGGTTTAATAACGTATTTCTATATGAATTGACATTCTTATTGGAAAAAAAAAATGTAATTCTTTGGTAAAGTTAACACGTATAAAGCCTTTGCTCAACATTTAAGTATGAGTAGTAATTTTCATATAAAAAATGCATGATCATGCATTTGTCATAGCTGTTAAAGTTGCTTAAGTGTCATGATTCATACAAATTCACTTTTTTTAAATATTTATGTAGTACAGGTGTTTTTATTCCCTTTTATATTTCATCAGGTGTGGATACTGTCATAATGGACACAGTGTATTAGCAATAACATTTAGAATAAAGTAACTGTAGAATAGCTTAATGTATTAACTGCAAAATACATTTTTCTAGAAGTCTTGTCATAGTACATAGAAGTGTTAGAAAGCTGCATTACTCATCTGTCATTATGCTTGGCAACAGCAGTGTTGTTAGCAACAAAAATAATCAAACTTTGATATATTTGTATAGAATGCAGTTTTTGTTTTCATAGAAACTTGTCTAGTAGTTTATATGTGTGTCTTAAAGTTTTAATCATTGCTTGTTAAAAGATACGCATCATGTTGGACTACTTGTACAGCCTTCATACACACACATACACACCAGAACTCAGAAAAAAAGTGTTATCGAGCATGGATGAAGTTTATGTAGCTCACAGATGAGCCATTGGAACTAAATCTACTTTGTTTTCATTTACTTACATGGAACTTTTTCTTAGATTCATTTTTATGTAAGTATACTATATGCACTATGTATATAAAATCTGAATTAGTGCAAATATTTGGTGAAAAATTAAACTTGTATGTGTGTGTGTGTGTGTGAATGCTGTAAAAGTAATTCAAAACAAAGGTGACACTGTTTTTTGTTATCTATATTGTAATAGTTTTATCATGATGCAAAGGCAAAACCAAAATAGTCATTACAAGGGGTACCTTATTAACTTGTACCTTGTATTTACTATGTCTCATTTCTAAAGACATTTTTCTAGAAATTAACATAATTTAATAAAGTAAACATACACACACACACACACACACACACACTGCACATAGGCATTCATTACAGTGTACGCTGTGTAGAGACTGCATTAATAGTCAGTGTGGTACAAATAATTTTTGGTAATATTTGAACTATGTTAAATCAAAGAAAAAACGAATGCATTTAAACTTGTATTATGATTTGATTGGACTAGTTGAAAAGTTCTATGTTATATTATTTGATGTAACTGAGTTTGTGGTGCATGTATGGTTGGGAATTAATAAATTACATTCTGTGTGTTACATTTTTTTCCTACTCTACCGTATAGTAGTACTCTGTAATCTGCGTGTCTACTTTGTTATTGAGTATTGTAAATTTTTTCAGCAACACTGAAAAATATGAAAAAGTGTAAGTATAAGAGATGGCTTTCTAAAGTATTATCCTGAAGTTTATATTTTCAAACTGAACTTGAAGAGAAAGTACACCTTAACTTTATATTAGTTTATTAAACATGCCATGAAGTAAGGTATGCTAAGTGCACATGTACTAACTCGTATTACCAGGACAAAGGGTCATTGCTCTTGAGGACATGTGTACTATTATTGTGAAGCCACATGGATAAAATACAGTAGTAGATTTGCCACAGTTGATTGAAGTATAATTACATGTACAGACTCACAGACTACTTTAAAATATTTAAATTTTTGTAACTTAAGTATTGTTTCGAAAAGGAATGTTGAAACAAAAGGTTTTATCTCCAATTTGGCTGATTTAATCAATGTTCTTTACAGTATCATTTAATTATTTGTCCAGACACACAAGAAAATAAAAGCATAGATTTTATTCTTTTATATAGAGGTTTTCCAACAAGATGTAACTACCAGAAAGATCCTTAATTTACGTGACTGCATAAAATGAAGTTACAAACAATAATTTTCATGTGTTTATCCATCTGCTATTTTTTACATAGCACCTGTAATGTACCTGACTCTACTAATATCACATACACTGATAACATTTAACTGGAACACATTATGCAATCACATTATTGGAATAGAGGGGGGATTGAACAAAAAAAAATACACTTTGTACTGAACTGAGTTTGCTAAATAATAGTTACAGTAAAGAAATAACAATGGTATATGTTTGTTTGTTCATAGTTAAGCACAAAGCTACATAATGGGCTATCTGTGCTGTGTCCACCATGAGTATCAAAACCTGGTTTCTAGCATTATAAGTTTGCAGACTTGCCACTAGGGGTCAATGTATATGCATTGAGAAAAAAAAGAGTATTGCATAAAGAAAATGTCATTAATACATTATAGCAGCTAATTTTTACTGTTTACATTTATTTTTCTTGTAATAATTCTTCTTTTTTAACATATAGTTTTTTTTTCATTTTCAGTTACCTTTCATGCTTATCCTCTACCATCAGCAGGAGTAATTGCAATAATGCAAGCCTTCTGTGATAATGGTGTACTTGATGATAATGGCTTTTTTCAGTTTCCTAATGGCACGTAAGTATAAGAATTTTTTGAATATATATATTTGATAGGGAGGCTTCATGTGCAACATTTGTCACTGCTTTTGATGAATTAAAACCCTCCATTCTGGCTTTCCATTGTATATCTATACAACAGATTCTTGATGTTGAATTGCATGGAATGTCACTGTTAATGAAATACATTAGTAACAATATTTTTATAGTTTCCAAAAACATTCCCCCATATTTAATTTTTCATAGACCCACCTTATTTTCATTATAGTCTTTCATTTTGAATTAGAGTTTGAATTCAAATTTTATTAGCCCACAAAAAGCATTGCTATTTATCAAGAATCAAAAACTGGTTTAAAACCAGAAACTTGTATATAGAATAATTGTGATCTCCATTGTGAAAAAATATATTTAAGTGACTAGAAATTATTAAATTGTATTTAGAAATGATATTTATTTTTAAAGAACAAAGAATGACAGAATACTGAAAAATATTCTAAAGTTCAATGTAATACAGAACATTTTGTAAGCCATTTTATTAACTCAGGTTCAAGTTTGAATAGTTTTAAGTTACAAAATCACACAATTTTTATAGCTATAAAAAAGTCAGAAATGGGAGAATAAATATTTTCAAAGTTAATGTTGTAGTTAGTGTCAATATTAACTATAACCTAAACTAGATTGATAGATAATTCTTGAAGTTGTGGGGATTGAACATCAATCATTATCATGGTTAGTCACGTATATGAACATCTAAGTTTGATTACTAATCACTTTTGTTTTTATTACTTTTAGATACTAATTAGTTTATATATATTGTAGCTGCTAATGTTTTTTCTTCTACAGAAAAACCAAATTAAGGACTGTACATTGTTACAGAGACCGCAAATCAATTATGAAACTTTATGTTAGAAAAGAATATGTGCTATTAACTTGTCCAGGCTCTTGTTGTGTTGAACATAATTCTGCCAACTAGTTTCATGTTTTTTCTTCTACAGAAAACCCAAATTAAGGACTGTACATTGTTACAGAGACCGCAAATCAATTATGAAACTTTATGTTAGAAAAGAATATGTGCTATTAACTTGTCCAGGCTCTTGTTGTGTTGAACATAATTCTGCCAACTAGTTTCATGTTTTTTCTTGTGTTTTCATTTAGTTGGATATAGATGAGTAAGAAGGTCTACAATGTATTTAAAATGAACAAACAAGGCTACTATTTCAACCTCATAGTTAGCTGTAAATATTAATATTCACCATTGCATTCCTTTTCTAGATATCTTGTATATATTTATATCACTGTCAGTGGAAAGAAATAAGTCCACTTTATCAAAATCTTAAGAACTAAGACTGTGGTAAATTTCAATGTGTTTAACCTATTCAGCGATTTATAAACTTTAAACGCTACATATATTTAGCTAACAGTCTAAAAATGAAATCACTCAAAAAACTTACTTAGCTGACAATCTCTATAAAAATAGAACTTGCAACTATCTATATCAATACAAATTATTTCCAAAATGAAGAAAGATATTATGAACAACAAGTACGTCTAGCCATGGTTCAATCGTATCATCAGTATTTGTTCATCTCTACTTGGAATATATTAAAGATAATGTCCTTAAAACAGCTACTGTAACCTGTTGTTTTACTCGGATATGTTGACTATACATTCATAATATGCACACAGTCATATTCCTCTGTGTTAAATATTTCTTTGAAAATGTTCAATTGATAGGTATGAAGTTAGAACAGTATTGAGAAAGATACAATACAATATAATCTCAGTTAATTCATATCAACTACCTAAAGACCCAGTGGAAATACCATTCTCAATGTCTATCCAGTGCACTGGAAAAGCAAAGAGACCAGCAAAAATTCAGAATTTGGGGGCGCAGCAAACATGCAAGACCTTTTAATACCAACCTACCATCAGTAATATTAGCTTCTGATCTAAACAAGCCACCTACAGACAAAAAATAACAACCAGATAATGGACATGACTTCTTTTATTATATTGTTATTACATTCTTACTTATAATAATTAGAATGCGTTGTTTCCAGTTGGGATCCATCACTGTTTGTTATATTTTAAGCAGTGATTCCAGCAAGGTACAAGGTTCAGCCAGCTAAGCTAAGTATGTCTAAAATCCACATAACAAGCTAACAGTGCAAAATATTTCTTATGATAAAAATATACAATAATACTAATTATAAAAAACAGAAATAATTAAAATAGTTATATTAAACATTCTAACCAATACTATTAATAAAAGTAATATTTAAGAACAAAAGTACACTTACTTAAAGAACACACAAACACTAATAATAATAGAATAAAATGGGATAATATAAAAATAATTGGATATAAGCCATGTGAGAAAAAGATAAAAAAAAAAGCAGAATTGGTATACACACATACAGCCAACCTTGTAATGAAGTCAGAAGAAACTGGATACCAACTTAAAAACATCTAGATAACAAGTTGAATCATATCCCAATAGTGTAACAGCCTGGACAAATGGATAGCACACCTGCCTTTCTAACAATAAAATCCAAGAACTCCTGCCACAAGATATGGTCCTTTTCAGGATCATTCTGAACCTAGCAGCTGAAACATAATATATAAACTAGTTGACAATTAGTATCTAATAATGATAATAAATGAACTAATTAGTTAAATTAAAGTATAAGCTTTTAATCGTGATACTAATAAAATACTAGACATTTTTCATCATAAAATTTTTATACAGATCTAGGATAATTCTGCTTTCAGTAATAAATTGGATTGAAATAAAAATACAGACTTGAGAACTGGACAGATGTTTATGCAACTTTCCTGTCAGTAACCTAAAGCATAATTATCTTAAAGTTTGAATAAAAAGCTGGTAATTTGAATTATACACATAGAACAAACCACTTTTCGAAAATATGACAATGAAAAAGTAGTTACGCAAGATTTGGACTGGTGGACCCTGTTTTATGGATACAAAATCTTTGAAAACTATTTTTTTTATCATGTATTATGTTCCTGCTGGAGTTTTATTTTTTTCTATGCTGAAGTAGTTTTTTCCTTTAATAAAAATAACTGTCTGATATTTATATATGTTCAGTTTTTGATGCTGTTTAATGTTCTAAATCACAAGAAAAACTTAGTGAAATATTTTCTCAACAAAATTATTTCTGTTTCCAAACCTGTAAACATCTAATGGTAATATCTGGTTTAGTTTTTGGAAACTTTACAGGAAGTTGTGGAATTTCTTCTCAAAAATGCTGCTCTAAGATTTGACTACAAAGAGTTTCATTAGTTTGTAGCAACCTTAGAATTGATTTAGGTTTTCACATTGTACTAGTAATTTTTATGTGGAGATAGATGTGATAAGCAAGTGTGGATACTAGTTTTTTTTTAGTTTTTCTTTCTTTTTATAAACAATGCCTTGTGCATAACTGAACATCTGTTACTTTTTATCTCCCTCTTTCTCTGTATAAACATCTATACATATAACACTTTTAGTTTAATTTTAACATTTGAAGGGAATAGAGTGTGTAGATAAATTTCATTACCTGTATTAATACTTTAATGATAGTTAATCAGAGAATAAGACCAAAAAAAAAAGTCATATGTAAAATACAGACAAATAAAACTAAATTACCAACTACAGTATGAGAAGGGTAAAATGTACCATAATAACATTGGTGCTTATTTATGTAGAACCTGCAAATTGGTAGGAATACATTAGCTATCAGATTTAACCTCTCTATGCTAGTCTCAGATGTGCAGAACAAAAAGACAGATATGGGTATTCAAGCTCACAATTTTCCACATCACAAAGTACCATATACTATTTACAACCAATTGTGTGATGATAGTAGCTCTTAGTGATGCAGAATAATAATTACAACAAACAAACCACAGGAGGTGATAAATAAAACTTAAGGTTATAAATTACTACCTGTGAACAAATTTGTCCTCCAAATTTCCAACCTTCCACCCCTGCCTATTATGTACATTTATTTTTAATTTCTCTGTTTCCAGAGTAACCTCATTCCTTGAAAGATTAAACACAGCATCCCAGAACAACAACTTCTTCCTGCCTGGCTTTAAGCTCAGTGAATTGGATACTATTCCAGATATTTATAAAAGTATTGTTGAAGACCCAGTTGCTGTCCATGATATTTTTGTTAATGCTGCAAGTGAGTTTTCCAAGGGCACTAATCTCTTAAAAAAACAGTTAAGATTCCATGAATTTGTTTTTGCCAGGTTTTAATATATTTTAGACAACAATGTATTGAAAGAAACCAGTCTTGATCTTGTAATTTTTACATGTTAACATAAGACCAGTTGAGGGTAAGTTTATTTGTTAATATGTTCTTGCAAATATGATCTAATTCCTTTAGAAAAATTACTAAATTGTAACTGATAGTGTAAATCAAATCACTATTAACAATGGAATCCAATTGTCAAAACTTTACGTTAGTTAATATACTCTTGTTACCATACACTTGTGAGTAGTGATGAAAGCAATATTGTTTACTAAAAATGTTAAGCTTTGTTGTATACTGTTTCATTTCCTTTCTAATTTCATGTTTAATATGTCTATCTTTAACTTGTCATATATCTCACTTCTGTCCTTTTTATATGAGTTTTAACCTTTACTTCTAACCAACCAGTAGTTCTACATCCACTTTGATATACAGTTTTTTTATTCCTCAAATACAGTTTTCCCTTTCCTTCATTTTAAATCAGTTTACACAATCTGATAATGAATAGCAAGAATCTTCTTTCATCAGACAATCAGTTCTTATTTTCAACATTATATTTGTTGCTGAGTTGTAGATCTCTTCACTGGTTCAGTAAATGATTCATGTACTGGTAAACTATGTTGTAGATCTCTTCACTGGTTCAGTAAATGATTCATGTACTGGTATTGTATATGTGTTGTAGATCTCTTCACTAGTTCAGGGTATAATTCATGTACAGGTAATCTCAGTTGTAGATCAAATTCACTGGTTTAGTAAATGACTCACGTACAGGTAATATGCATTGTAGATATCTTCACTGATTCAGTAAAGTATTCCTCTGTGGGAAATCTGTTGTAGATCTCTTCACTGGTTCAGTAAATGATTCATGCACAGGTAAACTATGTTGTAGATCTCTTCACTCTTTCAGTAGATGATTCATGTACAAGTAATCAGTGTTGTAGATCTCTTCACTCTTTCAGTAGATGATTCATGTACAGGTAAACTATATTGTAAATCTCTTCACTCTTTCAGTAGATGATTCATGTACAAGTAATCAGTGTTGTAGATCTTTTCACTGGTTCAGTAAATGATTCATGTTCAGGTAATATGTGTTGTAGATCTCTTCACTCTTTCAGTAGATGATTCATGTACAGGTAAACTATATTGTAGATCTCTTCACTCTTTCAGTAAATGATTCATGTACAGGTAATATGTGTTGTAGATCTCTTCACTCTTTCAGTAGATGATTCATGTACAAGTAATCAGTGTTGTAGATCTTTTCACTGATTCAGTAGATGATTCATGTACAAGTAATCAGTGTTGTAGATATCTTCACTCTTTCAGTAGATGATTCATGTACAAGTAATCAGTGTTGTAGATCTTTTCACTGATTCAGCACTGATATAGCTTGTATATGTGTACTCTTTGTCATGCCTTTTTAAAAAATTGATTTTTTTCCATTATGAAGCAGCATGTAGCACTGTCTATGTAGGGATGGTCCAGATAGTTCATCAAAAGAATATTTTACATATCTCCTCAATAGGTCATTAAAACTTTACAATAATATACAGTGTTTCCTTTTATAACAATATCTATGTAATGACTGTGTAGCAAGTTCTGGCAATGTCTGTAGATATCATAGCAAAAAGTTTGAATTTCCTGTTCTTCTTTCTTCTGCTTCTTTTTTATTACATAATAACTCAAAAACCAAAACAGCATTGTCAACCAATTTCACCAAGGTCACATAGTTTGAAACAGATTATCTGCTTTTATAAGTACAGGTTAAGTAGTTAGCACACAGGATCATCTACAAAAGTTGTAATACTTTCAAAACACGACCCAAAACTCGAGGAAGTTTAATCATGAATTTACTTTATGTTATTAGTATTATTCTTCCTTAAATTTCTCTCTCTCTCTCTCTCTCTAATATATATATATATATTGGTTTGATTTCCTATATAGTGAGCTACATTATTATTTTCTCTATTTCCTACCCCCTTTTGCCGTTATTTAATTTTAGTTTTATTTCTATTGTTCATTTGATTTTTGATTTTATCTTTGTGGAAATTAGTTAACAATTATCCCACATAAGTCTTTTACGAACTTTACACACCCCTTTGGTACAAAACTAAGCTTTACACAAACAACTCTAGGTTATGATTGGCTAGCTCTCAAGGCCAACTCATATTGAACATCTGGTTTACATGACATCGACATCTGAGCCTGTATATTTCATCACACTCATTAAACATAACCCTTTATTCTCCTGAAGAAGAATAGTCAATTATTCGAAAGCGCTTGAGTTTTTGGTCTTCTTTTGAAAATATTACTGCTTTCATAAGTATTATTGATAACTAATACTAATAACAAAAATCTTAATTCTAGTGTAAATGATGTTATTATTATCCCTTGAAGTTAGCTTTCTTACAGAAATTGGTGTTCCTTTAAAAACAATTGAGTAAAGGATGAAACAGGAATTACCAGCCAATAATAGATAAAAATTAATATTACAGTTGGAATCTCATTGTATTTAGAACTTGGTTATAAGTACATCTTTTCTATGTTTATTGAAACACTTCATTAAAAAAACCAAGGAAACAAGTAGAGAAAAAAAATTTTTCAAAAAAAGGGAAGTAAATGTATGGATGGCTAATATCCATTTTTCAATAAGAATGCAAACAAGATAGTAGGGATGGCATTTGCATCATCCCTACATAATAACATGGTTACACAGTCTAGTAGAATGTTAAAAAACAAAAATAGGATAAATTAAACTCAATTGTGATTGAATAATTATAAATATTGCTACATGTTTAATCTTGCCTGTGCTGTTATGTGGGATGATAAATTCCATCCCTACCATTTCTTTTCATTCTCATTGAATGATTGATATTAGCCATCCCTACAGTTACTTCCATTTTTTTTTTTTTACTTGTATGTAAAGTTGTAGCTTTTATTTCATTTTCCAGTTTACCACTCAATCTAACTAACTTTATATTTATTGATATCCTTTAGTTTTCAGTGGGGATACATGAAAATTGTCACTAGTACTGCTTCATTTTCTTGATTGTAAAAACAAAACTAAAAAACATTTTATTTTATGAGACTATGTGTACAGGGGGCATACCCTGCACTACAGAGTGGGGTGGGGGATATTTTTTTCAAAAAAAAGTGTTGACTCTGTTTTGATTATTTTATATTGTTTGTAACAACATAAGTACAAACTTTCCATTCGACAGTTTTGCAATTCTTATTTTTCTTCATAAGTTCACATTCTATCTAATCTTTTATTTTGTTTTCTGAAAATTGTGTTGTTTTTTTCAACCTCTGTAAACATAAAACGCATCACTTTCAAACAGCACTTCTATTTTCATATATTATAAATTTTTAATTTTTTTTTTACATCATCCTGGGCCAAATTAACTTTGATGATGGCCCCTTTGTTCACTCATTCTCCATCCTGGTTAATAATTTCACACACTACTTTCTATAGATTGAATGATAAATTATAACCTATATATTTTTGTGGGGCCCCAGGTTACAGCCCAGAAAACCCCCGTGTTAATTTGGCTGTGATGACACCCATTTTATCAGGCATTCTAACAGATTCTTTCAGGCATGAACACCCAAACACAATAACAGCATAAAAGGAGTGGATAATTAATATTTTATTCTAAAGTAGTATTTTTAATTGTATAATTTTATGAAATGTGGTTTTGTTTCTTGCTTAATATAAACTCTATTACATAATTTATTATGATAGATTTTATAACACATGTTTAAGTTCTTCTAGGCTACTTTTCAATGCACATCCACAAATATGCTTCAGTGAATTAGTAGGATGATTTGTTCAAAATTTTGGAGTTTATACTGATTTAATTATAATGATTTTTAGACAAAAATATTTTTAGTTATCCAAGTGTTTGGCTCTTCTTATTATAAACTTCCCTTAAAAATTATTTAGTCATATCTTGAAATTTCAATGCATCTTCATGGTACATTTTTTTAATTAAACAACTTATAAAGTTGAGTAATGTAAAAATATCTCTGAATACATTGTGCGTGTAACATAAACTTGTTCATTTAAAAAACACAAATTTTAAGAGTAAGTAATGTATTCCAATATGATGAAACAGTATTTGTAACCTGTAACTGTTTTTGTGGCTTTTTAACTAGACAAGCAGGTTGTGTATCTTCTCAAAGATCCAGCTGAGTTTGAAAAATTCTTGGTGTCAGATCTCTTAGTCTCTGAGGATGCAGTGAAAGTTCTTTTAACTTCTTCACTTGACATGAAGCAGGTACATAGAATTTATTTTATTTTACTTGATTAGTATATTGAAAATTAAAGGATTGTGTCACTTTATTTTAATTTCTTGCTGGTGTTTGCAAATAATATATTTATTATTTTTTAATCATTTTAACTAAATTGAGAGATTGAACAAAGTAGATTTTAATTTTTTATTATTGAAATTTGCATATTTCAAAATTAACATTTAACTGACTTGTAATAAGCATCAAATAGTAAAGATTAATGTGGATTCTAAGACCAATTATTTTGTTTAGCTATCTTACTCAGCTCTTCCACATATTCTGCCTTAGAGATTTGCGTAGCGCTAGCCTTGTCAAAACTCTCACCTAATTTCACATGAATTTGATGTCATCATGCGGCATAAGCCCTCCACTAATAGGAGGGAGACACACCTCTGTGCACACTTACTCCACCTACGTATTTGCACTCTTGAATCTTCATTCTTATTCTTGGCACTGTATTGATCAGACATGTTTAAATTTCTTGTCTGTGTTCAATTTAATGAGATTTGTTAATGAAACTTTGAGTTTAGTTTTCTTTAGATTTTGTTTAATATTTTATTAAGACTTCTCAAATGACAGTGTTTTGTAGTTATTTCTGAATGTGGGATGCTGGTCATGCTTAAGCCTTATTTATGTTGTGGCTTTTGGAGGCCCTGTTAACTGTCAGGGTCATAGCAGCTATTATTCAATGTGTTGTGAATTGTCACATGCTTTTTATGGGCCTCCTACTCCTGTCTCGTCAGCCATATTTCATTCTACTCAATTGCAAATTACTATTAGACTATGTTTTTCACCTACTTTGCTATGGGTATTATTGTACCATTCATTAAATGACCTTAACTTTTCCTTATCTTACTGGATCTCACTCACAGGTATCTTACTTTCCTTCTCATTTGCCCATGATCTTTATTATTTTTTGATTATCAATTTATGCTCCATGATTCTTTTGTTTATCTTTTTTTCTATTTACTTGTTATTAGGGTTTGTACTGTTTCCTTTCTCATGACAAATACCTCACCCCCACCCCCATGTTCATGGACACTTTTGTCAAGATTTGTCAACATTCTTCCCTTTCTTTTCCTGATTCCATGTCATTGGTTTCTATCTGACCAGCTTGGGGATCAGGACCCTTACCTTTTGGGGACACTGGCTTTTTCAGAACCCGTCATTCATTTGGGACATGCCCTCATATATCTCTTACAGTGGACTTTATGGACCCTGGGTTTTCAATCTTGAAGTCCATTGTTCTGTTTTATGAGCCTCTCTAGGAATGTTCAGGGTTACTGGACCATGCCCCCTGTTCTACTTTCTACTTTCCTTTACCACCTTTCAAAACAGATCTTTCCCTTCTGTGATGCTTCTTTTTCTGTTGGATTGAAGTATATTTTTTGTGGAGGCAGGTATTCTGATACTTGTACAATTGGACAAGTGCCCACTCCCCATTAATGTTCTCATTCTTCTTTCTGTTTGTCAGGCATGTTCCCATTCTTGCTTCTACAGACAGTTCACTTGGTCAACCTCCACTCAATCTTTTCCATAGACTCTCCCTGCTCCAACCACCCTTATGGCTTCTGATCTATGGTCTTTTTGTTTTTGGTCACTTGCTATGCAATTCTGTGCTCATTTACTTCTTTTGCTGGGAGCTTCATTCTTCTTTGTGAGCCATGTCTCTCAGCCAGCCCTCGTTCTGTAAACGGAGTAGTCTTTAGACCCTCAGATCTTCTGAGGGTTTTAATCTTGATTGGACTTGTTCCTCTTGAACACTGCCACCTTTCTCTACTCTGGGCTTCCTCTCTTAAAGTCTATTCATATACCTTTGGCTCTGCTGCTCTCAACCAGACTTGGTTTATCTGTTTCTCTCTACATTCTCCCTTATTTGTCTCATCCTTCTGAACCTTGGATTCACACACTGTTATCCTTCTTGGGCCCTCCTGTTGGTACCTCTTTGACTGCCTTGGCCTTGATATCCTTGTTAATCAGATTCCCTCTTCATCTCACCATTTTTTCCTCTCTCTTTTTTGTTTTGGCTCACATTCTCTCACTTATCTTCTTCACTGAGGGTTATCCTCCTTTCATCCCTACAAGGGGACTTGGCCTATTGGACCAGACTTGCCACTACTGTGGTATTATTCTTGCTACATTCTTCTTCTTGTCTTTCTACTATATTTGTCTATTGCCGTTGGTGGTTGGTCTTTTGTCATTGGTCATCTTTTTTGCCACCCATTTCCTCCAGATGGTAATTCTGTGCACCATCTTTCTACCTCCCTTACTATTGAAAGATTCTTGGTCTGAACCTTTCTTTGTTATCGGGTGGCCATGATCATGGCTTTTCTCTTTTTCCATTACCAAGACGTGTTTTCTTATCCTGTCCTCTTTGTTTTATTCTACTCCTTTGTTCTCCTCTGTCCTCCTTGCCCTGCTCCCTAGCCTGACCAAGACCTTGTTGGGGTTTTGCTCTATTTTGTGCATGCCCCATTTGAGCTATTGCCTTCCTGCCTATTTATTGTTCTTTTTTTCCTGTCTTGTTCCCTCCTCCTTATATCCTATGTTTACTGTTGTTTTGATGTCTATCCTCTTGAAGCTTGCTTCTCACACCTTCTTCCACTGCACTTCTCTCTCTTGACCAATCCTTTCTTCTTTGGACTTCAACCACTCTGGAGGAAATCGTTCTTCTATCTCTGTACTATTGGGTCATCTAGACCTGGCTTGGCTCCTGTGTTCTGTTAGACAATTCTGTGTATCTTATCATGGACCTTGTAGTTTAAGGATTTCCGTATTTTTCTTTTGTCCCTATTCCCTATTTTACATGAACCTTCTTCCTTTCCAGAATGGGCCCATTACCTCGGGATGTTGATGCTTGCATTCTGTTTGTTACCTTTTTCATTCTCTTCCACCTCTTCTTTGTCAGCCATTGGATGAGCTATTACAGGCAGGCATATGGACTCTCTTCACACATCCATCACCATCTCTATACTTTCTGGCTATTTTATCTCCTGATAGTTTCATCTATTACAGGTTGCCATTCTTCCATTGCCTCACTGTCTTTGAGTAGAATGTGCACTATCTTCGTATCAGAACCCCTCTTTCATTAAATAGGATCCCACTAGGTGACTAGTGTTGCCTTCCAAGTACACTTACTCAAAATCTACATTGAGCCAGGATAATGGAAAGCTCTCATACCATCCACTCTGGCTCTGTACATACCCACTGTAAAATGGGGTATTTCCCAAGATTCTCCTGATATCTATATACATTTATTGTCCAATCCAGACCACTCCTATTCTATGAACTATCATGGTAAAAATCAGTACAAGAGTAGTGTTTCTGTCCTCTTCTCTGGCTTATATATATAGGGTTTTATGGTAAATTTTGCACTGTCTCCAGAAAAAACTTTCTGGACTGAAGGACCAATAGTGACTTGATACATTCTCCAATTCTCCTGTATGCAACTTATCCCCCCCCCCCCCTTGTCAAGTGGAGTACTGGAGACCCTTGCCACTTACCAGTTCATAGCCACTGGGGTGGTGGACAAAATCCTCACCAAATGGAACCTAATCACTGGGGCTAGAACGAGGGGTCCCATTACAGAGAGAAATGAGGATGTGGTGACACAGAGTGTAGTGCAGGTCACTCCATGTGTATGATACATCACAAGCTAAATATTGACCGATGATACAACACACTATACCAACCTATATCTCACAAGTCCTCCAACATCCACAGATGGTAAGGGGGCCCATAGAGACATTTTTTTCTTAATTTTGCACGTGGAGGATATGAAACAAAGTAATTTTTTTTAGGTTTCATATATATACAATTGAATAACTAAAAAATCATGAATTACTACATCAGTACCTTAGAATTCTACTATAATTTATCAAGCTTAGTAACTAAGCTGTTTTTCAGTCTAAAAAAATATGAAATTTTGAGCCGACAAAAGACACAACCTACCTCATTGAAATCTTGGTTCGAAAGAAAGAGATGGGATTTAAACACATTAAAATGGCTAGAAAGCCACTATGGGGACATTCTGAGCTTCCGATTCGTTATTCATGTCATATAGAAGTAAGTGTATGTAAGGGAGCATTTCCAAAAATGGAAAGAGGTGGGTGGAGTACCATTGTATTTGATTTATTACATGAGCAATATCTTAGCAAATTGAAAAGATAAGATGTTCTTATTTTATATTGTAGCTTGTCAATATTGGTAGTGTGAGTTCCTAATTCGTACAATACTATAGACTTAGTATTTTGACTTCACTAATATGTAATTTGAACCATTCCTGCATTCTATATACCACGTGACAAAATATCAATGTTTAACTGTGTTTTTTTAATATTTACTTTTAAATTAAGAAATTGAGTAA